TAGGATAGGATGAAAGCATAGCCTACACTGGAAAGGAGGGTGAGGGATGAGGTGTGACTATCAGGGAGTCGGGTCTTACTGAATGCTGCAAGATGAAAGAACTAAAAAAAGGAAAAAAGATTTAGGATGAAAGCAATTGCTTCCTCTATACCTCCATTTGGTCCCAACCTCTTCATTTTACAGATGCTGAGGCTCAGAAATGTGAAATGTCTGTCAAAGCCACACAAAAAGTGGCCCAGATCTAAAATCCAGTCCTCCAATATTTTTTCACACTCCTCAGTTCAACCTCCCATGTTTCCTTTTATTGTCACAGGGAGGTCCTGATGAAAATACCCAAAAAAGCAGGCAAATGAAGAAAACCATATAAATGAACACCATATTTTACATTTGATTCTAAAAGAACAGCATAAAGAGAGCAATGGTGATTGACAGGAACGTGGCCTGGAATTCTGGAAATATTCTCTGAAATTACAGCTCTGGGGGAAAAGACTTGGAGCCTAGTTGTAAAGAACAGCTTTTGTTACTTACAACTTAGGAACTTCTGAAAAAAAAACTGACAAATAATAGGTATGTCAGAGCACCAAATAATATAAAATTCTTAAAAATGATTATATCAGAATTTGTAAATTACCCAGAAAAATTAAACTGTTTCTTTAAACTGGTCCCAATACCGGAGTTTAGGGGTCACGGACTCTTATTTCCTGGTGTAGTGACTCCTCTTTTTCCAGGTAAAGCTTCAGGGATGGGGTAGATATAGATATAAGGTATGACAGGATTAAGGCCAAGTCCTCTCTTGGAGTCCTGTTTCAGATTTACATGTTCACCTTGTTCCCAGGGTAGCCAGGAAAGGGACTCTTTGGCAGAGCCTCCCAACCTAAGTCTACTGTGGGTTAACCATAGGCTCACGTACACATGGTCCTCTCACTGGTCTACCTACAAGAGAATGTTGTCTTCCTGCTCTCCACTCCACAGTCAGCTTCTGGGATCAATTTGAAAATCATTTTGATGGCAAATCCCTGAACTTCACTTTGTGGCTAGGGATCTTCCTGGTTTAATTATAACTGGGTGAGTGCCTGTCTTCAATATGCAGACAATTTCCCAGATGTTTAGGGTCTTACAAGACTAGCTAAACCCTTCATGTCAGCCCTGAATCTCTGAGCCTTCTTCTGTTTTCTATTAAAACACAAATCCCACTTTTATGTACTTCCTCTATACAAGTGTACACTGCTTACTTTTTTTCCCCTTGAGGCCACTGAGCTTGGAGGGAGTCAGTGAACTACAGGGTAAGGTAGCCTTGAGCGCCATGGTTGAAGATTCTAAGAATGCATAAAGCCCTAAGAAAAGTAGATTAATATAACATGTGCTTGCTGTAAGGCACCTTTTACAATAAACCAAGCTTGCCCAGGGGATTTTTAAAAGGCAGAAGATTGTATGCAGGATAAACAATAAGCATAATTATCTGCCTTGTGGTGCAAACTGAGAGACAGCTACACAAGGACTTAGCCCTAAGACTTCTCTAGTTGTTTGGAAAATCTTGTAAGTTCTTTGTGTTGGGCAAGTTACCCTGGATGTCAAGGTCATTTGGTTCCTCCTCAAATATATGTTTGTGTGTGTACGCAAACATATGCATATGTATTTGTATGTGCATATATTTTTCCCCATACACAAATATTATATAAACATGTTGCTCAAAAGAAGAAATGATTTTCAAATAATCTCATTAATATATGGAAATAGCACCTTTGTAGTTTGTTATTCCAATCTACCCACCCTCTCCGTTCCCTCCAGGTAAGGTCCCATTTTAAGGTTTTAAATCAGACAATGTTGGGGGAGAAGGAACCCCCCCCCAAAAAAAAGGCCAAACTTTTTTTTTATAAAAAGATCAATGAAAAATTTATTTATAAATTTTTCACTCTGGGACTACCAGTCTATATCATACACTCAGGAAGATGCTGTGCTGTACAGACTTCATCCAGTTAGAAATGATCATAATAGTGACCCATATACAGCTTCAATATAAGCCTAAAATTCTTAACATTAATTAACATAATTAAAAAGGTATTTGCATCTAGAGAAAAAAAAATCTACAGAAAAACTCCTTTCTGGAGCAATCTGTGCATCAGCTTTCAATGTCTGCTTAACTCACTGACATTATCTTCTTCCAAAATAAAATCACCAGGGATGACTGCCAAAGATGACCAGTCATGCACACACACAAAAGCCTCCCTCCACCTGTCTCTTCTCTTCTCCCCCTCATTTTGGCATGAAGGGTCAAGCAGCACTATACGCCAAATAAAGGGGAAATCTCATTTAAATTTGAATTATTCACCATCCCTTTTATTTCTCAGAATCAAAACAATATGGGGTGTGGGGTTGCATAGAAAATTGAAACTATAGGGACTAGGAAGGGCAGCAGCTTTTCAGGACAGAAGTGATGCAACAAAAATACATCAACTCACACATTTTCAGAGCAACCCCCCCTCCCCCCTTCCCCCTTCCCAAGGTCTAATTTTCCATTTCTAATCAGGTCTACAAAGCTCCAGGAGGCTGAAGAGGAACAATACTTTTCTTAAAACTCACTCAGCAATTAACACAAGAGATTCACAGTCTTATAGGTATTTTATAAAAATATAAATATGGGTTAACATGTTGTCTTCACAACACTGGACACAACTCCCTTAAGAACTGGGTTTATAACCAAGATTTCTTTTTAAAAAAATCATCTAGAACTTGGCTTAATATATGTTAATATTTTATATTATGTCATAAATGTTATGACATTTAATTGTGGCAAATTCATTTATCTTTTAAAAATGTGCAACCATCTGGTAACTATAATAAAACTCACTAGAAAACGTATTGTTCCCCCCTCATCATTACAAAGGAGAAGCACCCAAATGCTGGAATTGTCTCCATTGCTCACACAGAAAGTCTGCAAACCAAAAAAAAAAGTTCTGGCAAATTACAGCATTAAATGAGAGATGCTTCCGAAAAGGTTTTTTTTTAAAACCTGGAGCTTTTTTCATTATAGCCAAAGTTTTCCAAAGAGAAAACTGCCCGTGAAAGCCATTAGCCAAAGCAGTGTTCAGTGCAATGAGAAAAACCGGCAGACTCAAGTTTTTAGTTTAAGACTAGAAAAAAAATGCATATTTTTCCCACAAACCACATTGACCACTCACAATATTTCCAAACAAAAACCAGGCTCACAAACCTCACCCACAAATATACAACATACAAGATAAATAGTTTATAACAATTTTAACACCTCCCCCCCAACCCCCAGTACATAACTATTTTGTTCCTTTAATCGTCATGGTTAGGGCCAAAGGAGTAGTCAGGGTGGGGGGGAGAAAGAAAAGGTTTATATAGCAAGGAGATGGCAGTGATCTATCTCTTCTCTTAGTGCAGACACTCGGGGTGAACACACACACACACACAAAACACACGGCAGGGGGCCCCAGTTTGAATATCTGCCTCCCTGCTGTCCTTGTGCCAGGGCAGTTAAGAGCAGCATTGCCAATTGGACGTGTAAGCCACTTTCCCAAAACGACGGAAGGTGGTTTCTTCTTTCCTCCTGTTTCAGCGTCAAAGAAGAGCGATCCCAAGTCACCAGATGGAGAAACCCATTCATTCGCTCAGGGTTTCCAAGTTGTTTGCGAGAGCATGGGCAGCAGGGGGAGCGCGTTCCTTGCTGAGTGGGCATACCTTCTCCTCCTCCTGCCTTCAAAGTCGGGCCCACTTCTTCCTTCCAGGCTCCTTCCCCCGTTTTCCTAACCCTGAATTCAGTCCAGGACTTACTAAACCCCAGTGGACTTTTTTCCCTCGGAATACACTTCAATTTTTTTTTTAAGGGGGGCCTGACATCGCTTATGTGACTTCTTGCCAAATTCAGGTGCACAGGGAGAAGGGGGAGGGGGGTGGATTTTACGACCTTCTCCCAAAGATAACGTCCAATCTCCCCAACCCAACAAATTAGATCCAGAACCAGAGATCCCAAAGATTTGTATGCTGATGATGGATAGAGGGAGCCCTAGCCCTCCAAACATACTACAATCAAGGAAAGTTCTTGGTCTAAAGTTTTAAACCGTGGGAAAAAAAAGATCTTCCAGGTGGAAGCCACCCACCCCGCAGACGTAAGCAAAAGATGCAAAATCCTGTCTCGGTTTTAGATCCTAGGAAGGATTTTTGTTTTTCTTTTACATTTTTTTAAGGAAGAAACATAGGAAACCCAGATAACAGCGACAGGAACGCTTAAGTGTGGAAATGGAATCAATTTCTGTGCCAGAATACTTTATAAAAAAGGACAACATCCGGGGCTGGCTGGTTGGAGCCTCTCCTAGCGAGTCTGGAGAGCAAAAAGAGCGGGTGGATGGTGGGAGAGGGGGGCCGCTCGCGGTAGCAGACGGGGTGTTCCCAGGAGGCCGAGGGGAAAGTCCATTTTTAAAGCATCTGACCAGATTTCTAACTGAAACGGCAAATACTCCTGTGCTAGCACAGCCGAGGTAGATGGCAGACTATTTTACAGTAGAAAACAAAACCAGAGCCCAGCCCCAGACACCCGCCGAGGCTAGACGCAATCACGGGTCAGTCACCAAGGGGATGGATGGGGAGTGGGGAGGGCGTCTTAGGAGGGGAGAAAAAGGAGTCCAAGCAGCTTTTGATGTTTAAAATGAAAATATTAGGATTTTTTTTTTACAAAAACAAAAACAAAAACAAAAAAAAAACCACACAGAGAAATTCCTCCCCCCTCCCCCATGTCTCTTGCGCGCACACACACTCATGCACGCGCGCGCACGCACACACACACACACACACACACACACACACTCACACACAGAACACTCTTCGCTGAGCCGCCGCCTGCTCCGCGACCCGGACCCCCGGGGGTCCCCTGGGCGCTTGGCTTAACGGATGTGGCCCGCGGGTCTCCTGCTGTCCTGTCCCCTGCTCCCACTGTGCCTGCGCCCTCCCGGAGCCTAGAGGGAAGGAGGGCGCAGAGGAGTTGCGGACAGGCGCACAGGCGGGTGCAGAGTGCAGTGTGCGGCGCCTCCCCCGGTTCTGCCCCCGGCCGGGCGGCGCCGGCCATCACCGGCCACTGGCCGAGTACTTGGCCTTGGTGATGAGGTATAACACGATGTCCTGGTGACCCCCCAAAAGCGGCGATGTGCAGCGCGCTCCAGCCGTCCCGATTGGCCAGGCGGATGTCGGCGCCGAACTTGACCAGCAGCTTCACCAGCTCCAAGTTACCGTCGATGACCGACTGGTGCAGCGCCGTCTGGCCCTCGGGCCCGAACGAGTTCACGTTGAACTCGCAGTTCGTCATGTTCTGTAGCAGTGACTGCAGCTCCTTCGTGTTTCCCTTGCGCACCGCCTCCTGGAAGATTCGCTGGCTCTGAGGGGCCGAGCAGGTGGACAGCTCCGCCTGGCTCATGCTGCTGGGCCCGGCCCTGTAGCCCGGGACTGGGAGGAGCGCGGCGGCTGCGGCGGGGCCCTCCTCAGCTCCGGGGCGCGCGGGGTGGGCGCGGCCCCAGCAAGTCTCCAGGGCCGGGAGCTCGCTCAGGCGGGTCGCGCTTCTCGACCCTGCGGCTGCTGTTGCTGTTCTTGTTGCGGCGAGTGGCAGCGGCGTCGGTGGTCGTGGCCCCGAAGCTCTAGGGCTTCGGCTTCGGCCCCTGTCTCCCTCGCGGGATGCAGGGGCGCATGGAAGAACCCGGCCACTCAGCGCTGCCGTCCTGGACACGGGCCCCCGGCACCGGCCGGCGCTGCCCGGACCCCTGCGTTCGAGGGCTGGGGCCGGGCTCCCAGCCGGCTCGCGCCCGGGGGGAAGCCGCCTCCTGCCGCCACGGGGACCCGCCGCTGCATCCAGCCGCGCCGGGGGCCGAGCGAGGTGGCTGCTGCCGGGCTTCGCTCGGCCGGGAGAAGACTAGTAGGGCTGGGAAGGTGGGGGCAGGCTGTGGGGGAAAAGGGGCCTCCTTATTACAACGCGGGGTGCATGTCCTGTCGGGTCAGATTCAAATACAGCCCCACGCGGCCTCTGCTCGGCTCTGTCGCAGAGATGCAACCTCTGCGCCTTTTAGGCTGCTTATATTTGCATAACAATGGTGCACCCGTGACGCGACCGCCGTGCTGGGAGTGGGGCTGCTTATTGGGCTGCAACCCACGTGGGGGTGGGAGCAAGGGGCGGAGGGAGCATGGTTAGCCTTTGGGGGGCGGGGTCACCCCCAGACTGGCGGCTGGCGGGGAAGGAAGGAACGAAAGTGGAGATTTTTTAGGGGGTGGGGCCGGGCCCGGAGGCGGGAGAAGAGACCCCCCCCCTACCACCCCACCCCCCCCGCAGCTGCCCCTCTCTGCCAGACCCCGGGGACCACGACCCCTAGGTTGGAAATGGCCAGAAGATTGGCCGCTGTCCAGCTACTCGGGGTGTCAAATCCCTGGATGCAGAAGGGACAAGGGTCCAAGAGCTGCGGGAAAACCCCCTGGCGTCGATTTCATTTGCTAGCTGCACAGGCAGAGGGAGCCAGTGAACCGGACAGCGGAGCGGGACGAACGGCGGTCCCCCGAAGGAGAAAGGAGTGTGATGAAGGTAAAAAGATGTCAGTTTATTTACCAGGCGGAGGAAGTTACACACGCTCACGGGATGCACACACGCACACAGATTCTGAAGTTGCATGCCTTTTTCTGATACTCATCCATCTTCAGCTCAACAATTTCCTCGAAAATCAAGGACAGTGGAAGAAGCCACATTTTGGCATTTTACCTTTAGATGCACACAAGCTTGATTTGATCTAGTGGCCTGTCGGATCCTTATGAAGTCAGGAGGGTGATGTCTTGAAGTATTGAGGGGAAGAGGCCTAGCCCACCCACCCTTGCAGTGTTCAGTAATATATTCTGAGGCCAGAGAGGGAGGGGAAAGATGCAGGACAGGTTGGGGAGAGGTTTAATTGTAGCATCTTTTTTATTGAGTAGGGAATCATGATCTAATTAGCTTAGTCTGCTTCATTTTGAGTTAGGAGGGGTGTGTGTGTGTATGTGTGTGTGTGTGTGTGTGTGTGTGTGTGCACGCGCGCGCGCGCGTGCACGCAGGTGTCTAGTGTGGGTATGGTTCTGAAATACCTATCCCTCAGTAATTAGCAAAAATAAAGAGCCTTTTCCTAAAATGCAACTTGGCACACTGGATAGAGAGCCAGAAGAACCTGGGTTTGAGTCTTGTCTTTGATATCTAGTGACTTTGTGACCCTGGGCCAATGACAACCTTTCAGTGGCCTAGGGCCTAGGTTCTAGGCTGCTCTTTTTAGATCTCTTTAAGTTGTAGGGAAGATTTGTTGTCTTACCTTCAGCTGGTAGTTCTCTGTACCCATGAAAGCCTAGGTCCGTCCTGTCTCTATTGACTCCTAATTAAGCCCCTCAAATTACAGGAAGTTGAAGGTTAAAGCATGCAAAAAGTGGACCTCTAATCCTAGGCCCTTGAATACTATGACTCTAGGCTGGCCTGGAGACTACTTTGTCCAAACCAAAACTGAACCCATTCCCACTGGATCTAAAAGCATCATCCACTCTTCTGACTATTGAAATTGCTTTCTCAAGGTAAGTCCAGGGAAGAAACTTACTGGTGAGATAGAATTCTGAAATGACTAATTTCTAAACACTTTTTTTTTAACTGACCAACATAACAGTCAACCTATTAAAACATGTTTGCAGGAGGAGACATTATCTGTCAAATTTTCTCATTAGGTTTTTACAGTTTATAGCTTGTTCTGTGGTCTCTGGAAATTAAAAAGGAATAATTTCTCAGAGTTTACAGAGTAAGATGCAGTCCCTTAATTGTCTGACGAGTTGTAACTTGCGTTCACTTTGAAGACAGCCCTGGAATTCATCTTAACAAGGTACCTCTCAGGTCCCCCCTGGGTTGGCTAAGACAACAATTTGCACAATGGAGGAATCATTGCAGAGGATAGGAAATTTGGTAAAGTGAAAATTTTGGGGGGATCCTGAAGCCAGCATTCAGAAGAGCTGGGAAAGGAAGCACCTGGTGTGTGAAGGCCAAGGCCTGGTTTTGGCTCAGTGCTTGATCACTAGCTTCCTTCAACTGCGTCCTAATTTAACTCTCCTGATGGTGAAATTGATGAAGAACTGAGTATAGGCCTAGAACCCAATATGTCTTCCTAGGTGAGGTGTTATATGAAGTAGATTCACTAGGGAAGATTATTTAAGAGCTAGGCTGAATATTGGCCTTGGATCTCAATCTACCACCATTTTGTCCTATATGGGGTACATACAACTGATTTTCAAAGACCAAGGAGACTTTTGCGCTAGGATGAAATAGTGTAAGCTATAGTGTATGGCTTATTATCAGGCAAAAGATTTCAAAAGATTCATAGATTTAGAATGAGGAAGGGACCTTCATAGTCAGTCTAATCCAACCCCCTCATTGTACAGATGAGAAAACTGAGGCTGATAAAGGTTAAATGACTTGCCCAGAATCATACAATAGTAGCATAGGTGAACCTAGGTTATGACTCTGATGGGGCACTAATGATGGACCCCTAAAGGCCCTGGACTTTCCCACAGGCCCAATCCGTGGCATTCACCTGAGGCATCTGGCACATGCCAGCCCACCTTGATTGCTTAATTAGCTTACTTGACACTCCTTAATCCCATCTGGGCCCCTTTCTCTGTTACCTCTGGACAACCCCGGGCTATCTTTTAAATAACAGTACCATCCTCATCAAATGCACATATTCTTAAAATCTGGCCTGCCACAAATACTGCAGGTTTACTAGGAATCGGACCCACCCAACTGGTGTCTTAATAAACTCACTACTTGGACTGAAAGAAGGCTTGAGTGGTCAAATTCTTTTAAGGCAGACCCTCACCCTGTACCCTTGTTTTTCAGGGTTCCCAGCACCCCTAGACAGCAACAACTCCAGTATCATTTTTGTCGTACTACAGTTCTGGATATTGGATTGCATTCATTCGTTCATTCATTTACCGAGTGCCCATCAAATGTATACAAGGAGACTTCCAAGTATTGCCTGCTACGTAACTTTAACTAGTACTTCTAACTTATGTTGTCCATATCCCAATTAAATAATTCAGACTTCACTTGGAGGCCCCCCCTTTTTTTCTGGTGAGGCAATTGGGGCTAAGTGACTTGCCCAGAGTCACACAGCTAGTGAATGTTATGTGCCTGAGGCTAGATTTGAACTCAGGTCCTCCTGACTCCAAGCTGGTGCTCTATCCACTGTGCCACCTAGCTGCCCCAGGCCCCCTTTCTTTAGAACAAAAGTGGGAAAGGGCAGTCTGGCATCTATGCCTATTCAAAGGTTAACCCTGAAATAATGAAAATCTCTCTTCTGACACTAATGACCTTTGTGCCTTTTTTGGGCAAAGTCACTTAAGCTCTTCAGGCCTCAGTTTCCTCTCATCTGTAAAATAAGGGGATTGGACTAGATCTGGCTTCAGCTCTTCAGCTGAGATCTTATGAATCTGCATTTTTAGCATTCTTTTCTAGGCAATGTCCCATCCATTATCTCAGTTGATATTCAAAACTCGAGGAGGCTAAAGATTTTCATTTAAATGAAAATCAGCTTCATTTTGCAGAAAAGGAAATTAAGGCTCCTCTTGAGAAATGTCATGACTTGTTTAAGGTGAATTCAACTGAGTCCATAATAGACCTGGAACCAAGTCTTCTAGTGGCTGAATTTTAGCTATAAAGAAGAAGGAATATAAAAGAAGGAATAGAAGAAGTCGGAATATAAAATAAAGGATACAAAAGAAGGAATACTAAATTGCATCAGGGTAGAAATGTCAGAATAGATGAAATGCCTGAGAGGAGGCCCCACTAAAGGTGTCCCTGTCATGATCCTCAGAGTCAGACAATGCTGTCAATTTTCCATCTTTTTCCACCCACTACTGGGGGTTGGGCATTTGCCCTGTGAAAAAGGATGTACCTCCTGCTCAAATTATAGGTGGGGATGGGGGTCAAGGATCAACCTGTTTGTTGCTCTGATATGAGAAAATCTGCCTGGAGGGACTGCAGCCTTGTGGAGGGCAGATCTTCCATCTCCTTCTCCTTCCCCAGCTCAGGCTTAGTTAGGTACATAGAGATGAATAAATTCTTGTGAAGCAGTGGCATAATGAAAAGACTGAATCTGAAGTAAGAATGTGTGACCATTGGCAAAGTCACTAATCATACTAGGACTCAGTTTCCTCATCTGTAAAATGAGAGGGTTGAACTAGATGATGTCCAGCATCCCTTTTAGCTAAATCTAGCTTGTCTCCACTGAAAACCAGCGATAGTCGGGGAAGCCAGTAGCTGGCAGGAGAAGGGATCCCAAAATGATTTGACAGGTCAGACAGAAATGGCCTGTCTCAGCTGTATCTGAATGTTTCTGATGCAGAGGTTGGGGTGGAAGGTAGTGGGATGCTGAATGAATTCAATTGTACCCTTAACAATGACTTCCCTCTACAACTTCAGAAGTCTGGGGGTAGGGGTGGGGTCCTTTCCTGACCTCCCCTACCCAACATGAAGGTTTGGACATGTTCTCTCTCTCTCTCTCTCTCTCTCTCTCTCTCTCTCTCTCTCTCTCTCTCTCTCTCTCTCTCTCTCTCTCTCCCCTCTCTCCCCCTCCCCCAATTAAAGTGGTTTGGAAGTGCTGAGAAATTATGTGTCTTTATACAATGTGAAAAAGGAGTTTTTCCTCTATCTTGTGCACTTCTTTGTGAAATATAGCAGGCTGTAGAGACCCTGGCTTCCAGAACTGGCCCCACCCCGTTAACTAACTAGTGGTTATTCTGGGATAAGTCTGTGAGAAGCAAATGAAGAAGTCATGGCTGAGGTTTTCTAAACTCGTAGGGAAAACTGACTGAAAGTGACCAGGGGACCCAGCAGGATAAAGACTTTCAAATTTAGTCCTGACTACTGACTCTCCCAGCTCTTCATGCACACAGACAAGCAAAGCTGTCTTTTCAAACGAGCATGAACACTTTACTTCTAATTAGTTCCCCTTCCCAGGGCCAGTGATTGAATTACTTTGATGGCCAATAGCTATTTCATAGGAAAAGTTCTCTTCTCTCCTGCCTCCCTCTCCCCCATCCCCCTTCCCCGACCTTGACAACTTGA